AATATAGGTAAAGCTTAAAAGAGTACTCTGAGAATGGTGCTATTAATTTGAATGACGTGAAATTGCCACTTTTGGAGGTTAAATATTGACAATTTCAGAGGGCTCAATCAATCTAATAGGTGTTAACTATTATTATTTAGAAGACAAATGGAAGCTATAGAAGGGTTTTGTTCTAATGCATCCTTTTCTTTTCTTTCCTTTCACATGTAGATATAGCAGCCTAACAGTTACACCGGCCATCTTGTCCACCTCACAGACTGCCTTGACAATGAACTTCCCTCCTGTTCATTTCCTGAATCCAATGTGAACAAAAATTCCATAGCAAAATTCCATAGCAACACTGCTTAATTGAAAATTTCATACAGCAAAGAGATAGTAAAATATACCACCAAATCAGAGAAAATCATACAGAAAAGATTCTATTATTTCTTTAGCTACTGGGTCAGATTTGTGAAAAGGAGGCATATATACAACAGCTTTTAGAAAAAGATTCCATATAACTCATTCACTCATTCTTTTATTCATTGATTCACTAATACATTAAGTCTTTTATTCAATTGATTTTTATCAAGCACATCCTATACACAAAACACAACATTAAGTTCAGCGAAGTATACAAAGATGAATGTAACAGGTCCTCTACCATTGATAAGTACAACATTACTGGAGTTGAATTGAACTAATATGTAACTGGTAGTGAAATACCTGAGCCACCTGAAACAAGGATAAAGAGTTTTATGGCAAAAGTTTATATTCTTGTATTATGCAAAGATGCCTCCAAACAGATTTTTGTCTCAGAAGTTGTTTTGGGTATCTATTGCTATGTAACAAATTATCCTAAAATTTAGCATACTACAACAAACATTTGTTTTCTCATACATTTTCCAAGGATCAGGAATCCAGGAGTGAGTTAGCTGGGTTTTCTGGCTCAGGGTCTCTCATGAGGTTATAGTCAAACTGTTAACCCAAGCCGTGTCATGTGAAGGCTTGACTGGGGCCAGCCCATGGCCCATTCATCTGGCTGTGAACAGGAGACCTCAGGTGCAGCTGGCTTCGGCAAAGGTTTCTGTTCCCATCCGGCAAGCCTTTCTCTGGGGCTGCTTCCACCATGGCAGTTGGCTTCCCCTAGAGCCCGTGATCCAAGAGAATGAGCAAGGAGGACGCCGAAGGGTTAAATGACCTGGTCGCCCAAATCAACACACGGTCACTTCTGCTCTCCTCTGTTCATTAGGATGAATCACTAGTTCCAGTCCATTTGCAAGGTGGGGAGGATTAGGCCCCACCTCTTGAAAGGAGGAATATCAAAGACTTAAACTACCACAGAAGTGAAGTTAATATCTTATTAAATAATTTCATTTTTCTGCATCTGGTAGGACCCTGTGCTTGTGTGTACTTGATACTTCTTGTTGGTAACTTTCTAATCATAACTTATCTATGCCCTAATTCAAAAAGTAACACATGTTTATTATAGAATATTTAATAAGCATAGAAAAATAAGAAATGATTCAGCCATAATTTTACAATCCAGATATAACCACATGTAATGTGTTTTTGGTTTGTGTGCAGGTACAAATATTAGTGTACACACACACACATAATTTATGGATAATAAATATTTTGAATATTTGTACACATATTATTTCTTATGTACAAATATTAGTGTACACACACAAACATATTTTATGGATAATAGATATTTTGAATATTTGCATATCCTTATTTAAATATTGGATATGTAAGAAGAATTTTCTTCCATAATTATAATTTATTTAGAAACATAATTCTAATAGCTGCATAATATTCTATGGGTAAATTTTTTCCTTCTTTGTTTTTTTCCCTAATTTTGAACATTTAGGCTATTTAATTCTTTTGATCACAATAGCAATATAATAAATATATTTGCACAATGCCTTTGTATGGCTGATTATTTCAATACAAGGTCCTATAAACTGAATTACAGGATGAACTTACTGCTAAACTGCTTTCAAGAAAAGTTATATCCGTTTGTATTGCTACCAGTAAGTAGTCTCAGTGGCCATCTCGTTGTAATCTGTTGAGTATTTAATCTCATTTCTTAATCTTTGCTAATAGACCAAAAAGTGGCATTTTGCTTTTCTTTACTTTGTGTTTTGATGACACCCCAGTTATTTTATTGACTTTCTGTTCCACATTCATTCTTAGCTGTTGATTCTGTGAATATGGATAGTGTGTTTCCTTTGCATCGTGCATGATGTCCGGCTTCGACAGTAGAGGGCGCTGAAGAACCACTGTAGCAGAAAATTTGGTCTTTCCAGATTCCAAGGACTGACTGGCAAGGCTTTGGGGAAGCCCAGAGTGCTTTCTCCAGGGCAGTTTCCCTGTAGGCTGTAGCTTTCTTTACCATTTGTTCCCTCAACTCCTCCATCTTCTGATTTGGTTTGCAGAGGCCCACCCTGGAGCTGAGTGCACATCTGCACCCTGGCACAAATCACTGCTCTCCACACCACCCCCTCAATTCAGTGCCTGCTCACAGAGAGGGCCCCTTGCGGTGGCCATCTAGTAAGCTACTTGACCAGCCTCTGTCCCTCACAGCCTCGAAGATACTGCAGCCCAAGGGATGCACAGAGTTGTACTTGGTTCCTGCAAAGGAGGCCCCTTTAGCTACCAATCCTGGCACACCTGTAGCAGGACTGGTGATTCTTTCTTCGTGCCCCCAAACTCCCTGCAGACCTCCAGTCGCAGGCACTATGTGATCTGGGACTTGGGCCTGCAGAAAAGCCGCAAGTCCCTCTGCACACTTGGCCACTTGCCTCAGCTGGTCCACACCCCAAAGAGCTGTTCTTGTTTGTCCTATGACCGTGACCCTGCTCTGGCCAGGCAACCAATGAACTTCCCCTCTATCCAGTGGGCTGTAACTACAGCCTCTCTAGTGAATTCTGAACCCCTGATTCCGAACTTTCCCTTTCTGGGGTTCTCTTCCTTACCTCTAGGGTACCCTTTAGGGCACCTTTCTACTTTAGAGTTATTCTCCTATCATCACGGCTTAATTCTTTTTTTTTTTTAATGTTCATATTTTTATTTTGAAAGAGAGAGAGAGAGAGTGGGGGCAGGACAGAGAATTTCAAACAGGCTCCACATTGATGGTGGGGCTCGATCTCACAAACCACGAGATCATGACCTGACCAAAATCAAGAGCCAGACGATTAACCCACTGAGCCACCCAGCCGCCCCACAGCTTAACTCTTTATATTAAACTTCTCCTGCTTAAATTACTGTGTTTCTGTCTCCTCACTGGATACAGTTGATCACCATTAAGATACAACTCCCCTCTCACACACACCTAGTAGCTGTTTGTATTTCTCCTTCTGTGATTTTACTTTTCATGTTTTTTTCCCTATCCATGTCTTGGTGTGTTTTTTTTTACACATCTTGTAGACTTTCAATATATTAATGATTAATCTTTTGTCATTGAGAGCATGTACTTGACACTAATTTAAAGTTTCATAAGTATACTGAATTCTAACAATTTCGTTTGCCCTAGTTTTGCAAGATGAGATCCTTTCCTTTTTAAAACAAATTTTTTAAGTTTATTTATTTAGTTTGAGAGAGACATGGCATGTGAGCAGGGAGGGGCAGAGAGGGAGAGAGAGAACCCCAAGCAGGCTCCATGTTGCCAGCACAGAGCCTGATGCAAGGCCTGAACTCATGAACCGTGAGATCATGACCTGAGCGGAAACCAAGAGTCGGGTGCCCAACCTACTGAGCCACCCAGGCGCCCTGAGGACATTTCTTATTAACTGATAGCTGGAAGGATAATGATGCAAGCCTCTGTTTTCCTCAATAAAAGATTTCCTAGGGCTGAAAGGTCACAGCACACTTTTACTTTCATCTAGCTTAGGTTTCGGTTTTAGCGACACTAGGAAGTAATACCTTTGTCTAAAAATGTTTCAAATTTTAATTTTGATAATTAATCTTCCGACTTGGATTTATTACATGCAACCTTATCCCTGAGTACATGTAGTGTAATCGAAGCACTTACTCCAATGCCTCTGAGGAATGTGAATGGAAGTAGTTTAGGGAATTCAACAATGCTGCATAAAACTCCATTTTAATATAGAGGTCATGAATAAAATTATAGATGATACTTTGGCATTATCAGTGTTTTCTTCTTTTTCTCAAATTGGTTGTAGCAGACTTTTAAGTACCTTGAAAGCTGTGGGATAAGTTGTCTTGGAGCAAAGGAGCAGAGTGCCAGATTCCCTGCTTATTTTAGCTATAATAGTTTTGCTTTATCCTTGGTTTTCATTCGGCAACAAATGGTTATCATTGCCCAACTCTTGTCCTAGCTGATCAAATATATTAAGTCTCTGTGGTATACTTGTTTGGAAAAATAAAGAAAACCAGTTTGACTGACTTTTTAAAAATGTTTAAGAACTCAGGGCACCTGGGTGGCTCAGCCGGTTAAGTATCTGACTCTTTTGATTCTGGCTCAGGTCACGATCTCAGGATCATGAGATGGAGGCTCGTACCAGGTTTTACACTGACTGTGGGGTCTGCTTGAGATTCTCTCTCTCCCTCTTCCCTCCCTGCCACATTCCCTCTCTCTCTCTCTCCTCTCAAAAAAAAAAATGCTTAAGAAAACTTTTGAAAATCATGAGTAGAACAGAAAAAATAATAAGGGTTCAGGTTGAGAAAACTGCAATTTGGATTTAACAGAAATCCAATCATCGTTTCTATCCCAAAGGACAGATAGCTCTGATATTACAAATAGCCAAAGCCACCGGCTGTATAGAGATAGCTTTGGATTTCATGAAGAAGTGAGAGATTTCAGGGAGCTGTGAAACACCGTTACTACCAGACTCCTTGGTAGGGTAAGAGTGTGTGCTTCCTTTTTTACTTCAAGAGCTGGTAGCTTTTGCTTCTGAATCATTTCTGAGAATCCGTTGATGATGTTTTCATTTTCTTGACAGTTCAAGCTAAAAGAAGTTTATGCTACATGATATCTGAAGACATCATTTAGATTAGAGTTCATGGAGTGTTTTACTATAAAAAGTATTGGGGATACACAGTATCCAAGCTTGTTTCAGTTACTGAAACAAATTCAAGCTCCTTTTGGTGCAACTGTGAAGCCTGGGTAACCTCATCACTTCAAAGAGGGACAAGCTTTTTCAACATTCAATTTTCCACAGATTCAAGTTCATAGACATTTGTATGAATGCAGGTATGGACTTTATGCATTCATCAAATAGTAATATCCCTCTAATTTTGTTGAAGTGTTTCAGCAATTGCAGCCTAACCTGCTAAACTGTTGTCTCAGTTTTTACTGCCCGTTTATTTTGAAGATATCTCTGTATAATAGCCTTTTCTCTACTGAATCTGAAAAAGGACAAGGAGAAAAAGAGTATTAAAAATTGAACACAATTTGTGCGCTGAACCTCTTATAGAAATAGGCACTCAGAATGCACGCTCCTGACTTACTTTGTTATTGTTCTTTGAATCTCTCTTTTCTCTTCTTCATTTAATCTTTGAAGGATGGATTCCAGGAGAGGAAAATGAAAGTTAATGTACTGAGCCACCTGAAAAGGGAACAATACAAAACAAAACAAAAAAGAATGCAGATTCTGTGAGAGGTGCTGAGTCAGGAGAAAGGAAAGACAGATTCAGGGTGACAGTATCCATACATCACTGCTAATTTCTGTTGCATCTTTATCCATGAGGAAAATGCGAGCATTCTCTTTGGAAGGTCCCTGTATCAGCCTATGCAGTAGTGGAACATCTGTCTTCTTCAGCCGCCTCTGCTCTACAAAGGAAAACAAGAATCAGCTATAGTTAGCAGTGCATCCCAGAGAAAAAGAGGAAAGAGAAGTTGTCCACTCATTTTCTTCTCACGTTGGAAGAAGACCTAAAAAGAACATACAACAGGAGGCACTCATTCAAAGGAGAAAATTAAAATTAAAACCTTTAAAAAAACTAAAAAGAATTTCTTTCTCTTGCTAGATCTTAAGGTTTGATTTGTATCTCCTGTGATTCAATCTTGCCTTTGGTTTGGATGTTCAGACAAATCTCCAGTCCCATTTGTGCTTTTACCAAGCAACACACCTAAACATTCTTTATAATTTGTCATTCATTCATTCAACAAATATTTATTAATTCTTTCCTAGTTCAGTTAATGTATTCCTATCTTTCCAGTTGGTCAGGTCCAAAACTTTATAATTATCCTCAATGATTCCCTTGTTTCTCATCCCAATCCAATCCTTGAATCTCCTTTAAAAATATATTCAGAATGTTTGTCACATCACAGGCCAGTATTTTTATTATTACTCATTCATCTGTGGGCTTCATCCATTCAGCCATAATAATGAGATGAGAAAGAAAATAACTTCCAATTTGGTAAATTCCAAGAATTTCACATTTCCAAAAGTTATAAATCCTCCCACTCACAAAAGCACTTCCAGCTTTCTGTCAAAATAATTTCACATCTGTCATTTCATTTTTATCAGAATGAAGCATGAACAGAACACCATGTCCTTACAATCATCTCCTCTCCTCCTTTCTCAAATATTTTTTGAGTTCCTACTATGTTTCAGGCATTGTTCTCTGTGCTGGGCACCTTCTAAATCAAAGCAGAGTAAAATCACTTCGCTTATGGACCTTACGTCCTCGTGGAGGACACAGAGGATACAGACGATAAACCAATAAAACCTATCATGTATTAGTGATAAGTATTCAAAAGAAAAATAAAGCAAGGAGAGGGGAAGAAAGTATGTGTCTGTGTAAATAGGTGTGTACAGGGGGAGACGTATGCAGTTATTGAGAGGGTGGCTGAAAAAGGCTGCACTGAAGATGTAACATTTGACAAAACCGGAAGGAGATGCGGTATGGAACCATGGAGCTTTCTGGGGCAAGTGTGTTCCTAACAGAGTAAGTAACTAAGCAGAGTACCCTACAGGTGAGTGCATGCCAAATGCTATCAAAGAGCAGCAAGAGAGCAGGGCAGCTAACATAAAGATGAGGACAGGGATATTAAAAGTTGAAGAGAACACATAATGGGACCAACATAGAGACTCTGGCTTTATTGTGGGAAGACAGAACACTGGAAAATTTGAGAAGTGATATGTCATTGTCTGACTTACATTGTTAACAAAACAATCTGTCTGCTGTGTTGAAAGAGACTGAATGGGGAAACGGGTAGACCAGTTAGTCCTTTCTACGCCATCATCTATGAAATCAATTTCCTCGGGCTCTTAAAAGTTTCAAGAATCAGAACTGTGCTCATCTCCTAGGTGAGACTTACCCTAGGAAAAAGTCAGGAGTACAGGATCTGGAGCACAATTAAAGTAATATTATCTGTTCTTGTTTCCACAGAGTCAGAGTACATTGCTTTAATTCCTCCACATTTCTGAACCAAGGACAGCCCCGATGATGAACGCACTAGAATCCTCTTCTGACCTCTACATCTTGTATAACCTGGCTCTGCACCCTCAGTTTGCTTCATGAATTTGCTTCTGGGGTAATTATTACAAATACATATTCCCAGACTGTTCCCAGATCTGGAGGGGTTTGGGAATCTGTATTTTAGATGAACTTCTTAGGTAATCCTGAAGTGCACTAAAATTTGAAAAACACAGTTATAGATCATGGGCTTAGTAGATACAAGGTATTAAAATGCACCTGCCTTTATTTTCCAGATTAATACCTAAATAGGTGATATGGGTTCCATTCTTTTCTCTATTCTTGATCCCTAAGATTTACTACTTATGATGATCTTCTGTTCTCGATTTTATGTGCAAGCATTTTTGACACGGAAAACAAAATAAAACATGATTTTCACAGATAAAGTTTTAAAGAACTACAATATGTTTGAAGATCCAACTTTCATTTTCTTACAGTATTATTTTATTCTGTTCAATTTCCGACTCAAACATTCTGACGCTTAAACTATAACTCGAGATTTTTCTGCAATTTAACATATAAATGTTTTCAATTTAAGAGTTTTCAAAAAGATCATTTCAATATTGCCTTAGGTTTTTCTCTAATCTCTCTTTCATCCTGTTCTCAGCACCCCACATAGGGCCTCTTCCCAATGGTCTGATGCCAACCTTTTACTCCCTACCACCAACTTCTGCATATTTTTCTCTCCTGAGGAAGAGAGAACACTTTTACATAGCAGGTCAGACACTGTGCTAAGAGGTAATAACAAGATCAAAGAGAAATGGTATGTATTGATTCCAGGAAGAGCTAGAAGGAAAAAGAAAAGCCAAAAAGAAAGAGGTCCAGAAGTCAAGGACTTCAGCGTGTAACAATTCTTGGGAACTCTTCACAGACTCACCCGGGCTCTGACTGCCATTCAGATAATTTAATGTCTGGTCAACAAGCAAACTCTCCTGTATTATAAACTCTTCTAGGATATCTTATTCATAGGTTAGCTTCTGTGAAAACATCCTCCTGACTTTTCCTTCTTCTTCCCTTCCTTCCCTTTCTTCCACAGAAAGAGGTTTAATGGCTCTTGTGCCTTCCCCTTGGGCAGAAAACTATAACATACTGGAATCGTGTAAAAAGAGGGATCAAGCTTACCTCCTGTTGCAAAAACAATGTAAAGTGCAAAATCTTGGGCACTGTTTTCAATCTGTCAATGGAAAAAAAGAAACAAACATGAATTCTTTCATATTTGATTGATTGGTGATTGTCAAATGTTTTCTGAGCCAACAAGACCCCAAATCTGTATCTTTTTTCTCACTTTCACTTTGCACTTTTAGATAAGAATCCTTTTCTGCTCCCTGTTGAGAGAATAATATAATCCCTTGAGACTCAATTACAAAAAGGTGTTATACGTAAGAAAGAATTCTTCAGAACTGAATCATTTAATTTAGATTTACATGTTCATAGGTCTTCTTCAGAAGAGTACATTTATGTACCTATAGTTAAATTATATACAAGATAATTATAGCTCAGCTTAGTGATAAGGATTACCTTAAATTTTTGGAGAAGTTGCTCTATTACTTCTTCAGTTCTCATATGACTGTTTATTCTGACTTTAGTTTCTGATCCAAAGGCAGGAGTGAAAACTGACGTCTAAGAACAACAACAACAACAAAAATATTGTCACGGAAATTCTTAAGATTACATCAAACTAACAAGAATCAATATGGTGAAACTGGCCTCCTTCTCCTTCTGCTTCTCCTTCTTCTTTTTTGAGAAGCCCAATATTTAATTTATTTTATTTTATTTTAATACTTTATTGTCAAGTTAGCTAACATACCGTATACAGAGTATAGTCTTAGCTACCTCCCACCCCCATAAACCCTCAGTTTGTTCTCTGTACTTAAGAGCCTCTTATGGTTTGCCTCCCTCTCTGTTTGTAACTTATTTTTCCTTCCCTTCCACTATGGTCTTCTGTTTAGTTTCTCAAATTCCACATATGAGTAAAAACATATGCCATCTGCCTTTTTCTTACTGACCTATTCCACTTAGCATAATAATCTCCAGTTCATTTTTTGCTTGACAAGTAGTATTCCATTGTGTGTGCGTGTACATATATATATATATATATATATATACATATATACACACACATATATACACATATATACACACATACACACACATGCACATACATATATATGTATATATATATACACACACACACATACATATATACAACATCTTCTTTATCCATTAATTAGTTAATGGACATTTAGCCTCTTTCCAGAATTTGGCTATTGTTGAAAGTGCTGCTATAAACATTGGGGTACATGTGCCTCTACGAATCAGCACTCCTGTATCCCTCAGATAAATTCCTAGTAGTGCTACTCCTGTGTCATAAGGTAATTCTATTTTTAAATTTTTGAGGAACCTCCACACTGTTTTCCACAGGGGTTGCACCAGTTTGCATTCCCACCAACAGCGCAAGAGGGTTCCCCTTTCTCCATATCCTTGCCAACATCTGTTGTTTCCTGAGTTGTTAATTTTAGTCACTCTGACCAGTGTGAGGGGGTATCTCAATGTGGTTTTGATTTGTATTTCCCCAATGACTGATACTGAGCATCTGGTGAAACTGGCCTGCTTATGGGGGGAAAAAAATCACAAATCACCAATTTAAAAGTTTTGTTTTCTTGTGTTTGCTTTCTTTGTTGTTGTTGGATACTACACATCCTTTTAAGCAACTTTATATTGTTTCTAGAACTAAGTTAGGTAAAACATGAGTATGTTCAAAACATTTTTACTAGATAATCATACCATTCTTCAATGTGGTTCAAAATTTTTAAGTAAGTTAGCTATAACTAAGCACAAATAAAAAGTAATACCAATAGTGTTCCAAGACTCCAGAAATGGGAGGTAGGGGTTCATCTGTCGTGGAAATGGGTGGGTTCTGGGGTGGCTCAATGGAATGTTAGATAGATGAGCCTTATATCGGGAAATCAGTAAATAAATGCCAAAATAAACATCACAGTGCATATATGCACAGCACCTGTGTGAGTAGAAATATGGATATGGAAATTTTTCAAAGTAGATATATGGAGGCTGTCTGGAATAAACTCTTGCTAAGTATGAGAAAATTCAATGTTTGTAGACATTGTGAGGCATTGATGGGTCACTCTGTGACACATATGACCAGTGCTTATGAGTTCTGTGGAGCCCTGAAGGGCCATACATTCATCTGCCACGAAGACAAGGATATGTTACCTGTGTGGTTTGATGTTGTTTATAACGAAGAATCTTTATGGAGTTTGGCAACAGCACTAGATTAGGATTTAGGACACCTGGATCATAGTATCTTCTAACTCCAACTTTGTCAAATCACTTCACATTGAGGCCTCAAGAGGCCTCAAGGATTTCATTTGTAAAATAAGAGAATGGGACTAGATGACCCCCAAGAACCCTTCTAAAGCACCAACATACAATGAATTTGGAATCATGTATTTCAGAGTTTTAGATTAGTTTTGTTGCTCAAAACACGTAATGAAATAAAATCATTTATTTTTATTGCATGGATAGAAATATACCACAGGTCAAGTCAACAGTCATAACTTACATACAAATACTGTCATCTAAGCCTCTGAAATCAGTGTTATTCATGTCCTAACAATATTGATGTTACAGTGGGGGTCTCATGATATAAAAACATATCTTATGACCATATCAGTTTAAATTCCTAGCTGTCTCTCTCTGCACATCCAGTGATAGAATGTTGTTTTTTTCTTTCTGCTAGTTATTACACTGCAGTGACTGGCATCTGTATGAAATATGCGTAGTTCCAGCTTGATCTCTTTTAACCAACAACAATAAAGCTAATGAACTCTTGCTAAATATGAGAAAATTCAATGTTTGTAGACATTGTAAGACATTGATGGGTCACTCTGTGACACATATGACCAGCGCTTATGAGTTCTGTGGAGTCCTGGAGGGCCATACATTCATCTGCCACGAAGACAAGGATGTGTTACATATGTGTTCTTCCTTTGTGCCAGACGCTGTGCTAAGTGCTTAGCTCCCCTTATTCCATTTAGTCCCATCAACAACCTTGTAAAGTAGGAAGGATAAAGGCTAAGAGATGGAGGCAGTTTTAAACTTTGCTCAGCAAGAATTTGAAATCGGATTGTCAAGCTCCAGCACCCAAGCATTTAGCCACTCCACTGTGCTGCCAACTTAGTGCCAATTTCATTTTTAGTATAGGGGGCCCATCTGGAAGTTGCTCATTTGGAACAATGTGGCTTTCACAGCCTTTAACACAAATCACCCCACAGGATGATGACACGGCATAATCTGAGAAGTAGAGACCAGGACAATTGGCCATTGCACATCTATGGGAGGCTGTCAAAATTACTTTATGGCTAAGAGGGAATTCTTGAGCCAGAAAAATATCTAATTTGAACAAAGAATTCACAAGGGAGGTTTCTCCCTGCCAGTCTCCACAGGCACACTATGGATATGCTCTTAAGGAAAGAAGAAGGAATAAGGTAGAAAGCGCTATGGGAAAAAAGCTTAAGATAAAGGAGTTAACATTTGGCATTAAAGGGCTTAGAATGGTACCTGGAACAGAGCAAGTGCTTTTTAAGTATTTACTAAATGAATGGATGAATAATTGCTGAAGGACCTGACATGAAAATTTGAGTTCTAAAAAAAAAAAAAAGAAAGAAAAGAAAGACACATTCCCTTCAGCAAAGTGAAATGTCTTAAGGGACACATAAATTTAACACATTAAGTGAAAAATCAGAATAAAAACCTTATCTATGCTACAACTAATGCTTGCATAAAAAATATGTGTATATGACCTGGAAGGGCATGTGACCAAATGAGAAATTTGACTCACTGGAATAATAGGTACAATTAATTAACAATTAATTTGAACATTTAAATGTTAATGTTCAAATGTACTCTGAACCAATCTCCATGATAGCATTTATATGATTCTAATGCCACTTGTCGACTTATTGGCTTCTGTGCCCAACACCTGAGCTCCATGCTGGCCGAGGCATCAACTGAGTCATATTCATATCCCCAGTGCTGGGCATAGGCCCTGCCACTTAAACAGGGCTCACTCATCATGGTGGTTAATAGCTTGGGTTCTGGAGTCAGACAAAGGTAGATTCAAGTTCAGATCTGCTACTTAAAAGTAGTGTGATTTAAGACAAATTACTTAACTGCTGTGAACCTTAGTTAACTCAGGTAAGGTAGGGAAAATAATGGTACCTGTTTCGTAGACTTGTTTCAGGGATTAATGAGATAATTCATCAAAATCCAATTTAAAACAGTTTAATACCTAACACATAGAGAGTACCCAATAAATATTAAATACACTACTACTATTTTATTAGTACTATTTTTAATTGTAAGTTGAATTGAGTGATACTGTTAGCAAAATAGACATTTTAAATGACATTAGTGGAATCATAACTCACTTCATGGTTATAGAAGTGCCCATTAATAGAGGCCCTATGCTTCTGTCTGTCTTTTCTGTCCATCATTGGAGGCTTCATCCTTTTTCTCACCAGGGTTGCTTCACTCATGGTTCGATAGAGCAATGGGGATTCTGGCTCTTCCTCTGCATAAAGCTTCAGAGTGCTACTGTGATAAGATAAATAATCTGGGAAGAATAAAGATTATAAGGCCATATCATTTAGCTGCCTACCTCTTTGGGTGAATTTGTATATGTATTTAATAAGTAACTATGCAGCTAAGCAGTGGACTATAATGCTTTCAAACAGTGGGAAATAGTATTCCATTTGGCCTTGGGATTTTAAAGAATTTTCTATTGTCATTAGAGTACCAACCAGTAGACATCGGGGATTCCATTGTCCTCTAGCATTGGTGCTTAGATACAAATAGATTTTTATGGTATCTCTGGTGCCAAGAAATTAGAATTCCCTTGGGTTTAGGTGAGTGTTTTCAAAGGGCTAACTGGAAGGACCCTTATATAAAAGTTGCCAAGAGCCATCACACAAAGATAAGGGGATCCTGGAAGGAGTGTCATGTTTGTTATTGAATATGGGTTGCTAAAGAGACAGCAGAGAAGGCTGACTTGGGAAAGGTTTGGAAAAAGTAACTCAACATTGGAAGTTGTTGGTACATTCATGAAGATAATGGTGGCAGGGTACCATTTTCAGACTGAAATCAGCTTGGTAATATGGCCACCCCAGAAACATGAACCCTGCTCCCAACACCAGTCATCAGCTTCTCCTTGGATCTGTAACACATTATATGAAAACCAAACCTATGTAAGATACATGACATCATGCCGGGCACCTAGCAGCGTCTCAGTAAATGACAGCTACTAGAATTACTACAGTCACATCATCATTATGACTACTGATATCACATGTAATACGACCTGCCATTTACCATTGGTTTGTCATGTTTGATATGAATTCATTTGATGTTCAAGTTGACTTCTCTTTTTAAAATAAATGCTTGAAAAAACTATCGAATAGAATGAATCCAGGATATCTGCCTCTTTCTGGGAAGTGTTGTTACGCAAATATCTATTAACTAATGAAAACATTTGACTTCTAACCAGATGTGGAATTTAATGTGAGTGGCTTGGTCAAATATAAAAAGCTGCTGAATATAATAAATAATCCCAACCTTGGGGAGAATATTGAAGAATTTTATGTATACAAATTTATTCAAATCATTAGCTAGTAAATCTAAGGGACCTGATGTGATTTTAAAAATCATCATATTTTTATGTAATAAAGTTCTTAAACATCATATGAGCACTGTAGCAACTTGTTAATATGATCCTAAAGGTCTCTTTTAATATAAGAGTTTTATTAAATAGTGGTATGTAAAATGTTAAATTTCAGAGAAATGTTTAGGATTCATGATTTACATTTAAAAAGTCCCTCCATTAATAAGAGTTTGATACTGACCTTCTTGGGAATCTGTTCTTTTAGATGCTGGAATCTGGGTTCTGTCCAGATCACTAATACGGTAAAGATCATCAAATTCTCCCCAGCGTGTCATTCCCCTGAAAAGTAATAAATATTGTAAAGGGCATTAATTTTATTCATAATAAGTCTTATGATGCTTTTCAGGTTTAGAGTATTAATATGATACTGAGGGAATATGGTCGGTATATCCTAAATTATAACAATTTTATGACATTATTTAAATTATATTTATACCAGAATGGTCAATGAGTGTTTTTAAATACTTCCTATACTGATTTTAAGCAAATCTGATATAACTGAGTATACCCTGAAACACAAGGTTATATAGGTTCTCTAAAATGTGTGTTTGCAAATGGAATTAGTGGAAACCGACCAACATAATCCATAATTACACAGATATCTCACAATGTTCTCAGGAGAGTTTAGGTACAAAAGTGTTCATTCTGTCAGAATACTTTGAGTTCCTATTGTATTCAAAGCATTTTTGGGTAGAGTGGCTCTCAGTAAGATGTGGTGCCTCCCTTTAAGGCTCTTTACTACTATGAATGCAATTTACAAAGGAGGAAAGTGTATGAGAAGATTCTTTTCTAAACGATGATTTATATATAGGATACTAACAATTTTCAATGCAGTCTAGTGATGAAAATACATAAAACTGGGCAGCTACTTATTTTTATCAGCTGGGTCAAGAGTCATATGTTCTTCATTTATTTATCTGGTCTTAGACAAGTTACTCCTCTGTGCCTTCATGTCCTTAACTATAAAATGGGGATGATAATAGTATAAGGTTGCTGAGAAGATTAAATGAGTTAACTTGTGTAAAATTCTTGACATAGTGCCCAATACATAGTAAGCACTCAGTATATGTTCAAAGTTACCATAATCATCCTCATTTTCATTGTCATCTTCATCAGAATCACCTGTATCCATTTTATGATGGGTGAGGAATTATTAAGGATCCAAGATATTCTTGGTTTCTCTAGGTTAAAGGATACTATTGTTGCTGGGATTGGTCTTATTCTTACTAAAAATCTCTTCCATAATGTCTGTTTTCCATATGACCAAAACCCATAAGTGGTGGCATGTACTCTATCCAAATGTGGCATCTGTAGCATTACTTCTATCCAAATGTCACTGGTAGCAACAATAACAAAAATGTTTATTCAGACTAGTGGTGGTGAACATGACAAACATGAGTATTTTCTCCTTGATCTTTGAATTCTTTTCATATCTTTTTAGAACTTTATATCATTTGAGCCTCATAATAATCTTATGCTGTAAATAAAGTAATCTTAATGTATTCGTTAGCTAATTATTCAGTAAGCTCTACTATCCATAACATAGCCAGTTAAAACACATGTCAGAAAAGTCCAAATACTATAGGTAATAACTAACTCAAGGGAAACCTGTTCAGGTCCTGACTCAGATTCAAGTTATCCTTATGGTTGATAAAATTGCCCATCTTCCCCAATCTCTAGGAAATTAATTATCTAAGGGAGGCAGATGTTATTATCTTAGAGCGGCAGCAATGGGAAAAGCCGAATACCAATGAAAAGCAGAAACTAAAACAGCAAGGCTATTTCATATGGGGAAAGATGAGAAAGCCCAAGGGTGCTTGGCCAGTGGTATTCTATAAGTTCTTGGTAATCTTGGCAGACTGGACACTTGTCCTTACTTTCTTACTTTAGTGGTGTCACACAAATACAGGGGACAAACATGGCTCAATATATGAGTGTTTGGCCCATTTTCCTCTCTACTCATCTTAGAAGAAAACACCAGTTTTGAACACTGGATTGTGTAATTTGAAGAGTCACTCACATACAACTGTGCGCATGGCTATGCTTGAGGGCAGTTACCTGGAGTCGTTCAAAGAAAACTGGATGGAACTTTATGCAAATCAAATAGTTTAACTTGCCCAAGCACAAGACTGTTAGCATTGCCCTGACCATGCTTCAGGATGTATACAGTGGTAAACTTAAACTGTGGGCAAGTTTTCAAATGAGTCGCAAAATAAAAAAGGAGGCAGAAATTTGACAGACAAATGGGATGTGGTCATTTTTCTATCTGTGTTGGAAGAAAGAAAAAAAACCCACGCTATAAATGTTATTCAAATGTACACCTGTCCAGTTTCTTCTCTTTATGTCATTCTGTCATGATTTGTACAAAATGCCCCAAAGCTGATTTTAGAAAAATTAAAAACAGCCATGAAAACTAGTGCAAGTAAACATAACCTCAATAAGGCTGGGGTTTTGTTGCTGTTGTTTAGGTTTTGAAAAATTTTCAAAACAAAATACTTGGACCAGGTATGAAAGATCAAAGTATTTCCCACAGGAGTGTTTCCATAAAGGATCGCAAGTGGTCACAGTTCAAACAAATGGATTTATATTTAAGCTTCTACCACTCCCCTTAAGCTGACTCAGTGTGACTCATTTTCAAGGTAATTAAAACAAACTAGCATGACAAACTGATGATTCACTCAATAAGTGACCAGAATGACAAGACTGCAGCCCTTCCTGAAGCTGAGTACACAGCTCAGCTGTACACTTTATCGTACATACCCCCACTGAAGATACCATATGAGTGCCCATGTGAGTCCAGAGGTAGAAGTTCTGCACACAGGTTCGCCTGAGTAGCTCAGTTCATTGAGCATCTGACTACTGATTTCAGCTTGGAATCATTTGTCAGCTCAAGCCCCCGGTCAGGCTCTGCACTGGCAGTTCAGATCCTGCTTGGGATTCTCTCTCTGCCCCTCCCCTGCTCATTTTCTCTTTCTCTCTCAAAATAAGTCAGTAAAACATACAAAAAATTGAAGAATTCTGCACACAGAAACCCAGTATGAGAAAAGAGAGTTGAGAAATGTTACAGAGTGAAGGAATAGTTTATTTTTTTAAAATGTTTATTTATTTTGAGAGAGAGGGACCATATGTGCACGTATGGGAGGGGCAGATATATATATATATATATATATATATATATATATAGAGAGAGAGAGAGAGAGAGAGAGAGAGAGAGAGAGAGAGAATCCCAGGCACGCTCTGCACTATTAATGCAAAGCCTGATGCAATGCTCAATCTCCTCATACTTGGGATCATACCTGAGCCCAAATCAAGAGTTGGACACTTAACCTACTGAACCACCCAGGCACCCCTAGTTCCTTTCTTTATATGATTTCATTCAAGGCTCAGAATTTAAATGAATACCATCCTTAATAGTGGTAACCAGAATGAAGGTATTTAGGCCCAGACTGCACAAAGATAGTACCTTAGGTGGCTATGCACCCCACTAGGGAACAGAGGCCAAGGACCAGCCGTTCCAAATTATGTGCACCTTCCTGCTGAGTGTTCAACTGCTTCTAATGGAGGATTCTTGGCTAATTAATCATGACTGAATCTAATCTTGCTTTTGAGTGTGAGAGTAGTAGGATCTCGTTCTGATAATTCTCAACCTCCAGAAAGATCGGATACACTGCACATGTGCCCTTTACTCCATACATTCTCCTGGTAAGTTTCATTACTGTAGTAAAGAGCAAGCAAGATTTTCTAAGGAATTCTTCCTCAACTTTAAACTAAAGGAGATCATTTCTGTTTGGTTCACAGCAATGTGCTGATAAACAATGAAAACTGCAACTGGTGTCAATGGAAGAAGGCACATCGTGAGAATATTAATATTTAATTTGCCACAGTATATGGAAAGGCATCAATGTCACTTTGTCCACCTGGTCTCTTGAAACATCCTCACATTGAGGATTCTTAGGAACAAGTGTTCTGAATTTTAATTTGAAGCATTTGAAAATATCTCAGGGTAGCTATTTTTTTTTTAAGTCTTAATGTGATAATACAAGGACCTTACTGTATCTCCTTGACATCTTCCCTTAATGTGCCATACTTATTAAGTTTTCATGACTCAAATAATTAAAAAGCATCAAAAGCAGCTGGCTGCTCAGAGAACTTTGCAATGAGTTTTTCGGCAATATGAATAATGATAGCTAATTTTGCCAAATTCATGTCTTGCACAGTCATCTAAAAGCAGAGTCCAGGGGTAATTTCTCCTTTTAAGAAGTGCTCCTAGTCACTTAGAATCATCAGCCCCATCGGTCTTCGAGGACCTGAAGGGGAGGGTTGCCGGGCTTCACGGGCCACCTAAGTCTGTGATCCCCCTTCTGCTCTTTCACAAATACTGGACCCTTCGCCCACAGGCACCCCTTAGCCTGGATGGGAGACTAGTCAGAAGTGGGAGACAGAGACAGTTTTCACAACAGAGCAGAGGTAATTTAACTATCAGGCTTGTGGGGGCTTTGTTCAATATTATATTTTGAGTCTCTTCTTCATTCCAGGCACACTGCTGAGCACCACAATAACGGACAAATAAGCCATGTTCCTTACCCTGAAAAACCCACAGGCCAGAGCAGGACATAGGTGCATAAAAAATGCAAATAACGGTGTGTTTTGAAAAATTGCCAGTGCACCGAGTATAGACTGAAGGGTCAGAAAAGGCTTTCCGGAGAATGTGTTACCCGACCAGAGTCTTAAAGGACTGAGAGAGGGGAGTCGGGCGAACGATGCTGAAACGCAAGTAGACTTCACAGGAGTCAGGAAAGTAAGAGGCTGCATGGTATGTGTTAGGGAATTAGGGAATGTTCAGAACTGCTGGATCATCACGTGTGAGAACACTGGCAAGGTGCAAATCATAGTGGGGTGTCCAGAGAAAAAATGCGGCTTCCCCAAGGTGATCCTTGGTTTTTCTTGCTTATGGCCAGAGATCAGATTGAGGAAAAGGTCCTGGAAGCTCTCTCTCCATCCTCTCTTCCTAGAACTTCAGCCCATCCAGTTATAGATGGCAGGTTGGGAGAGGAGATGGCTTGGCCCCTCCACATATGCACAACAGGGGGAGGGATTGGAAAGTTAAGGATTAAAAAGGAGGGAAAGCAGGGAGGAAGGAAGAAAAAAAGAAAAAAACCCCCATACCTGTATGATTCTTTCTGGGAATAATTATTTTTCTAAAAATTGCAAAGGATAATGAAAAAAATCAACCCAACTTAATGTATTCAAGGTACAGTTGCATAAACCCACACAGAGAACGGTCTTCTGTTGTTACTGAGCTCCAAGTACACTTTGTTGTGTCCTGTTGAACAGGATCAAGACAATCAGGTGGAGCATAATTAAGTCTCCTTTCCAGAAAGTAGGAAGAGCCCTCTGTTCCAAGGAGAGGAGAAATTTAAATTTTATCTCCCCTTTTGGTGACAAGGCCAGAGCTAATGGGCTAATGAAATCTTGCCTTGACATTTTGTCTTTTCTAACGAAGGAATGCAGTCTTCCAGGAGAGAAGAAACACAGCAGAGAGGTAGACATGAGGGCCAGCCCAGTCCTGCTTCATGGTCATTGGAGATCTTGCACAAATTACCTAACCTTTCAGAGCTCCGGATTCTGAACACCTACTTCACAGAGTTGCTGAGGATTAAATGAGATTGTGTTAGAACTTTAGAGCTCTCATCTTTAAAAGTGCACACAATAAATTAAGGTAAATATGAGGGTGATCTTCTCAGGAGCTAAAACGTAAAAGATAGGGGAGCCTGGCTGGCTCAGTCGGTTAAGCATCCGACTTCAGCCCAGGTTCGTGATCTCACGGTTCGTGATTTTGAGCCCCGCGTGGGGTTCTGTGCTGATAGGTCAGAGCCTGGAGCCTGCGTTGGATTCTGTGTCTCTCTTTCTCTCTGCCCCTCCAGTGCTCGTACTCTGTCTCTCTCTTAAAAATAAATAAACATTTAAAAAAATTTTTTTAATGTTTTATTTATTTCTAGGAGAGAGAGAGAGAGAGACAGCGTGAGCAGGGGAGGGTCAGAAAGAGAGGGAGTCACAGACTGAAACAGGCTCCAGGCTCTGAGCTGGAAGTCAGCACTGAGCCCGACGTGGGGCTCGAACCCACGAACCGCGAGATCATGACCTAAGCGAAAGTCGGACACTCAACCGACTAAGCCACCCAGGCGCTCCTAAATAAACATTTTTAAAAATGTGAAATATAACTTACCTTTTGGAAAAGACATCTGGTGACTTCAACCTAGTAAAAGAAGGGATTTGTTTCTCATCTTGTATTTTTAGCTGTATAGGCCGTTTTACTCCCCAGAAAATGTCCAACATTCCTTCGACAATTAGTTTGCCATCTTCTGTCTGGGGAAGAAACCAATCATCTCAAACATTGTTTTTGTATTACTTATAGAAGGTAAATCTTTTAACTGAAAATGTAGAAATCAAGTCTGTAAGACATCTTAATAGATAAAAAGAAACTCCTCATGGGGTTGTTTGACTTTTCAATCTATCCTCAAAATAATTCAGTTTTGGAAACATTCTTTTATTTTTGAGAACAGCCCTGACCAGTAAAGTAAGTCAGAATGGTAATGATACAGCCACCAGAGGGCAGCATGTGTTAAAATGCTTTCTGAACTCCACAATTCTTCAATGAGGTAGAAGTTTAATTCTGTTCAACGTAAAATGAAAGCAGAATTAAAAACTATACCAAACTAGAAATCAGAAGAATAGCTATTCAGAGATTTAGTGGCTATTTGCTCATTTCTGAACAATTTTTAACTCCTGGAATTATTATGCAGAATCAGTGAGAAATGTATGAAACAACAGTATAAAATGTATAACAGAAATTATATATTTGAAAAAAATCAATAGCACTTGACTAATTTTTAAGTTGGAAATGTAACAAAAGAAGGGCATTCCACGCACACACAGACTGTGAACACTTACTTATTCTGCGGGTATAAATATTAATGTCAAAGCATAGACCCATAGAATTTATTTTCTAATCTATTACCACTTGTATATATATGTAGAAGTATTTCTGTTATTAAAGTAATATGTTATCATCATAGAAATTTCAAAAAATACAGACACTAAGAAGAAGCACATTGCAACCATCCAATAACTACTATAACATTCAATAACTATAGTTATTATGAAAAATCAATTATCAGAAAATGTCAATGACTTAACTTTTATTTGAGAGTATAATGAACACTCTAGACCTTGGACTAGACAGACCTGTGTTTGAACCCAGGCTCTGCCACTTCTTTGCTCTGTGGCCTTAGGCAAGAGGCTGAACGCATTTAAGGCTGCTGTTTCTGAAGAATGGCATCATTATAGTCCCTAATTCATAGCACCGGATATTTAATAAGTGCTTCATAAATGTTATTGCTTATTATTTCTTGGGCTGATAAACTAACTTCAGAGTCACTCCTGAAACAAAGTTATGAGCTTTCTCCCGCTTCTGAGTTCACGTTTCAGATTACTGAGAGGTCAGGATACCCATCAGTTGTTTTTGACAACCAAACATAATTTGGCCTTGGAAATGACAGTACATGATGCAAGTCCTACTTTCAGTTATCAAGGTACAGCATCCCTTCTTTGTTTAGTTATACTTCAATTAATCCCTTACATCAAAAACTCACAGAATAACTGCTCTTCTGAGATGATCTAATTCTTGTTTTCAAGAAGAAATTCTCCATCTGTTATCAACAATGGTAGGTTTTCTCATGTAAGGAATATCAGAATATTTCATTTGAGAGAAAGAGAAAGAGAGCACATGAGCCCACGAGCAGGGAAGGGGCAGAGTGAGGGAGACACACACACACAGAGAGAGAGAGAGAGAGAGAGAGAGAGAGAATCTTAAGCAGGCTCCATGCCTAGCATGGAGCCCGACATGTGGCTCAGTCTCACAACTGTGAGATCATAACCTGAGCTGAAATCAAGAGTCAGATGCTCAACCGACTGAGGCACTCAGGAATACAAGAAAAAATTTTCATTTCACAAAGCATCTCTTTATAGATGAACTAAATATATCGCAGAAGGCTTGCTTATTTAATATCATTGTCTAAATCCTTAGGCTTCTCTTCTAGGTCTACACCAGTACCCTTGGTGATCTCTAAGATCCTTATATGTCATTTCTCAACTAATAGCTTCCAACTTTACATTTCTAGCTCAAACCCTTCCCCTGAGCTCTACTTGTCTGACTGCCTACCTGACATCAAACTTAATATGTTCCTAATTAACTCTTGATCTTTCTCCCATGAATATTTTCCTTTCCAAGTTGTTCTATTCTTGTAAATAGCATCCTTGTCTGTCTTCTTTTCTTGGTAAATAGCATCCTTCTCCTTCCTGTGGCTCAGACCAGGAATTTGAGTCACCTTTAATCTTTCTTTTGTCCTCAACATCCAATGCATTAGCAAATCCTATGAGCTCCACCTTAAAAGTAAATCCCTAATGTGACCACTCTACTCACTGTATCCACTACCATGGTTCTGGTCCACGCCCTTTCATTGTTTGCCTGGATTATTGCAGGAGTTTTCTTTCTCATTCTTCTCTTGCCCTTTCATATATTCCCCATAGCTAGGGAGATTCTTGTAAGATTCTGTATCTTTTAGATAATGTCACTGTTCTGCTCAAAAGTACCCAGTAGCTTTCCTTCTCATCCCAAGTACATGTTACAGTCTTCACAATGATCTAAAGACCGACACGCTCTGGCACTTTCCTTCCACAGTTAGCTCTCTAGCTGCATTGTCTACTAATTCCCTGTTCTCGTAAGCCTCCTGCTCCACCAGCTTCCCTGCTGTACTTCAACTTCCTGCTGTTAGTTACTTCAACTAACCCAGCTCAGGCCCCTTGTTCGGGGGCCCGAATGTGTGTCCCACAGACTTCTGCAAGGTTTGCTTCTTCACATCTTCCAGAGTCTCTGGTCAAATTCTCCTCTACCCCTTCCCCACATAGATCCCTGAGCCCTCTTCCCTGCTGTGCCATTGTCAACAGCCTTTATTTTTATTTGATATACTGCATATTTTATTTCTTATCTCTACGCTCTAATATAAGAAACATAAGGATATTATGTCCCATTTCTTCGTTGCTTTATCTGCAGCTTTTAGAACAGTGTCTGGCACATGGTAGACAATCAATATTTCCTTAATTAACCAGACATTAAGAAAGCTACATGCCATTCTCCATAATGCCCTTTTAACAGTGTCTGAGTCATTGTAACTCAGCCAGAATGTTTTGAAAATTTCTGGACTCTCACTTTATTGACCAGTGAGTAAAGATGGAAAGTTAAGCGATATAATAGTCTCACTGTGTACTTTACATCATGTAATTTTAAAAAATTAAATGACTTTTGTATTGTAAGTTGAACACTGATTTGCAGAATTTGAGAGAACATTATATATTCATAACATCAAAGTTCAAACATGTTCCGAAAGGAAACAAACTTCTTCACATCATGAACTTTGTAGAAACTTGAACTAAAATATAATCATTTTTTTAAAGTTTTGATCTTTTCTTAAGTTACCTTTACAATTATAAGATCTTTAATCTTAGAGATCTAAGATATAGGATGATACTGAAATAATTTAAAATTAGGCCCATTTCTTTGTAAAGAGATGACTTATTTCCTTCTTCTATTACATTTGGGAAGGCAAGCGAAATATTCAAACTAAATCATTTAACTTCACTAGGAAAGGCCAGAGCGGCTTGTAAGTTTCCCTCTGTTCAACTCCAATTTTAAGCCCAATCACAGTGACCTAAACTTAATGCTATATCATCAAATGTGAAGAGTTTAATTGGAGGTAGAAAAGTCTAATGCCTCCCGGGGCCAGGAAGATAGTGTAAAGATGTGAAGCAAGCCCCATCAGAATGCAAGACTAGGTGGAGAGATCTGCGGAGAATGAAGCAGTCAAAGAAGGAGAAGAAGAAGAAGAAGAAGAAAAAAAAAATCTAAGGCCAGTTTGCACTCCTAAAAATACTTTCTAGACTCAGGACTTTTCTGAAGTGTTACTTTCACATTTTAAAATTTGTTATTATAACACAGTACACATTCTTTGGAACCTAACTGATTCATGTTAACAACCAAATCAAACTATGTTACAGCCTATGTCATATTTATTTGAGCAATCCCCCATGGGTATGGACTTAAAATATCTTCAAATTCTCTCCATTACAAATGACGTCACCACAGGATGACACCACCTTCTCTGTATGTTTGGGCACGTTTGTAAGAAAGTATTATAAGAGATTTCTAGTGGAATTGCTGTTCAAAAGACATTTATACACTGTTTTAAAAGCAGAAAGTAAACATGTCATTAAAATTATTTTTAAATGCTTTCTTATCCCCAAAGCTGCTTAAAAAGTCACATGTTTCAGGACTGGGATTTTGTGATATAGTCTAAATATAAAAGTCATGATCAAAGTCAAAGATTCACCTGTTTTTCCAGACCCCTTGTGCTGCTAGAGGATAGACTCCCACTCATCCTGATGTCTTTATTCCTTTAAGGAATTTCTTTCTGTGAATTAAACTGTATTGCATTTGTTTGATGGGCTTACCTGTCCACATAAAATATGGAGGTTTTTCTGGTTCTCATAAAAAATGTTATAGGTCTTCAATAAAGAATTAAGTTGTTCCCTAAAAAAGGTTACATATAGTTATAATCAGTCTCTTTGACAGTAAAAGGCAATAATAGTGCATTCAGTTCGCAAAGGTACGGGATAGAAATGGGTCAATGGAATCTTTACTGTTCTGTGGTTTTATTTAACTTAATGCAGGCCATTGAAAATCGAAGTCTTCTCGGGACACCAACGAACACGGGAGGGGCTAATTCACCAATAAATAACCGAAGGAGGGACAATAAGGGCCAAGTGGTGAGGACACTGGTGACAGGAGACAGACATAAAATAGAGATTCGCTTTCACATTTCTTTTTGGTTTTGCATCATGTAACCAGCCTACATTAAGCACCTGGTATGTGCCTGACACTGTTTCCCACCAGCAGCTTCGTCACAGTTCAGGGATGGTCATCGCTCCCGAGTTACCTTTCCCGCGTGGCAGCTGGGGTCTGGCCGTGGGAACACTGGTTCCTGACACTCCTCTCTCCTGTCCCCTGCCACCACAGCCTACAGTCCTTACCCTCCCGAACTAGCCTACTGGTCCAGGCCGTCTTCTCTTACCTGGATTACAGTCTGCTAAAAGCCTCCCTGATTCTGTAGTCTGTTGTTAACAGCAGGTCTTATCTTACTGCAAACGAGATCATCTCTCTCCTTGGCTCAAAACTCTCCAATATCTTTAAAACATGTTTTTTAAGTTTAGTTATTTATTTTGAGGGAGAGTGAGAGCCAGGGAGAGGCAGAGAGATGGGGAGAGAGAGAGAGAATCCCAAGCAGGTGCCTCACTGTCAGCACAGAGTCTGATGTGGGACTTAAACTCACAAACTATGAGATCATGACCTGAAATGAAGTCAAGAGTCAGACATTCAACTAACTGACTGAGCCACCCAGGTGCTCCTCTCCAGTATCTTTTCATTATTCAGAATAAAGCCAACATCCTTCCAATGACTTAAAAGGCCAGATGTGAGCTGGTCTTCTGTTTCCCTTTGATTTCATTTCCGGCTATTCTTTCCTTTATTCACTATACTCTAGCCACTGGCTCCTGATATTCCTTGAATATGTCAGGCACATTCTCACCTCAGGGTCTTTGCACTTGCTGGTTCCCCTGTCCAGAGTGAGGTCCTCTCTCCTACTCCCACTGTCACACTAGAATGTGCCTGACACTGTGTTATGTAAATGTTAGCACATTTTCTTTAACTTCTTACTCAGAAGTCACCTTCTCAAGGACTCCTTCCTGACCATTCAATCTAAAGGTTTGCCTTCTCCCAACGCTCATATCCTGCTTTCTTATCTCTGCTCCTCAGTCACCATCTAACCTTGTACATATTTTGCTTATTTGTCTTATATTCGGTCTCTCTCGCTGGACCGCAGCTCCACGAGAATCGGTGTGCTTGTATACTTTGTTTGCGCTGTGTTCCATGTGCCTGGAAGAGTGTTTGGCACATAGAACTCTATGAATACTGGTTGAATGAAATGATCAGAGAAATTCTTATTCCTAAAAATGGAAGCATACCAGATAAAGGGGGAAAAGCTTCTTTATATAAACAGTTTTATGTGGGGGGGAACCTCATATTAAATTTCCAAATATATCATTTGTTAAACTTCCTTCAATCCTCAGTATCTGTTTCTCTCCCATAAGAATACTGGCTCCATGAGGGCAACAACTTTGGTCTATTTTATTCATTACTGTCTTCTCACTATTAGAGCAGAGACTTGCTCAGAGTAGGCTCTTATTCAATAAATATTTATTGAATACTAAATGACAAAATTCATGTACATTGATTTTTATGCTTAATATCATTTAGACATACTCTTTCCATTTGACTTTGTAATTTTATTTTATTTTATTAAAAAAATTTTAATGTCTATTTATTTTGAGAGAGACAGAGTGTGAGCGGGGGAGGGACAGAGAGAGAGGGAGACACAGAATCTGAAGCAGGCTCCAGGCTCTGAGCTGTCTGCATAGAGCCCACCGTGGGGCTTGAACTCAAGAACATGGAGGTCATGACCTGAGCTTAATTCAGACACTCAACCAGCTGAGCCACCCAGGCACCCCTGACTTTATAATTTTAATATGCAGTTTTCCAAGGCTCAATACACTTCAATCACCACATAAAACAGTTCTACAGAATTCCTCCATGCTGTGGTTCCATTTCCGGCTGAGTTACTTTAGAATTTCAATGTCAATGAATATTTCTGTTCTAAATATCATTGCCCACACAAGGGATTTGTTCCCTTGGAGTCATTATTATGAGATGTTTCCTAAAAATTATTGTACTGGTAAGGAGCATGAACACTTTTATAGCTCTCCATTACTGAATGCCAGGACAGCATATAGAAATTTCTGGTTCACTTGGGATGCAACTCCTGATATGCGGAGCCGTGAGGGTTGTTATTAAGGCAAATCAAATTTTATATAATCTTAGTCCCTCAGCTTCTGTTTCTGATAAAAATTACATAATAAGATATGGTACAAATATCCTTCAAAGTATTTACCTAAGAATCATATAATTAGAAAGATATTCTCAGGGAACAAGCCACTCGGAAAATGCTTCTATACCTGAACAGAACCTTACCAAAGATTCCTTCACAGAAATAATCTCCAAATGACCCAGGAAGTCAGCAAACTGTAATCCTACATTGTCTGTTTTTATAAATAAAGGTTTATCATAATATAGCCACGCTACTTAGTTTGCTTCTTGTCTGTGGTGCATTCCTGCTGTAACTGCAGAGCTGAGTAGTTGTGACAGAAACCATATGACCCATAAAGCCTAAAATGTTTATTATTTGGCCCTTTATAGAGAAGGTCAGCCAACAACCCCCCTCCCCAAGTATAACATAGGGTCACTGAATGACACGGAAGTCATTCATTTTTTTTTTTTTTTTTTTTTTTTTTGCCATAGGCAGGATTGTTCTGACTGAATATGAATGGCACTTTGAAGGATTCTGGGATAAAGTGAAGAATTAGAAAGAAAAAAAACACCGCCTCACAAGTTATGTAAACAACTACAGCAAAGGTGAAAGCATTGCAAATATTAAAGCGTCATTACATTTGAATTGTATATCCCTTCCCAGAGGAACTTTTTTTTTTAAGTTTTTAAAGTTTTTTTAAATTTATTTCTAGGAGAGAGAGATTGAGAGAGAGAGACAGCGTGAGCAAGGGAGGGTCAGAGAGAGAGGGAGTCACAGACTGAAACAGGCTCCAGGCTCTGAGCTGGCAGTCAGCACAGAGCCCGACGCGGGGCTCGAACCCACGAACCACGAGATCATGACCTGAGCGAAAGTCGGACGCTTAACCAACTAAGCCACCCAGGCGCCCCCCCAGAGGAACTTTTGAAGATGATTCTTTTTTTGTGCATCTGATGGAACTGTGGGTCTAATAGAACACTGGTAATAAAAGCTAGCCTGCAATATTCTAATCTGACTTGTTGGCACTGAAGGCACAGGGGCTTAAGAAGTTATTGTCAGGTCGATCACCCGTAGCTGCAGACTGATTCAGATTGTGTCCTCCAATAGTGAGCAGTCACCGTGTGAGCTCAATCGAGAGGTTTCAGTCGTACTCTGAGGATGGGTGAGAGCTTCAAGGATAGATGTCTCCTACAGTGAACTTCAGAAGGAAGGGATTAATCATGAAGTATGGGAGGAGCTTACCAGGCAGAGATAACTTTCACAAGGATATGTAGCTATTTCCATAGTTTTTGTGAAGGAAGCTCAGAGCTCTGGGGCTCTAAAGGTAGAACGTGTAAATGGAGAGTGGTGAGCCTCGAGCTGAAGAAGCAGGCAGGATCTGTGTGAACCATTTTAATGAGCTTAAAATTCACCCTGTAGGCAGCTCTAGAAGGTTCTAGGCAAAAGAAAGGCATGATGATAAGGGCCACTAGGAAACTTACAGAAGACAGATTTCAGGACCAGGTGGAAGCAGAGAGATGTTTGGGACTATTGGCAAATAGTACAGGGGTAGAGGTGCAGGAGCGAGGCTGTGTTCCATGGAAAGGCGGTCAAGTGTCCCACATGTACAGAAGGGTCTGAAGTCTAGACGGGACCCATACATGACTTAGGACATCCAATCACTAAAGCGCTACCTAGGCAGTCCCTAGTCAGGAAAGGAGACAGGGATTTAATACACACTGTGCCCTGTCAGTGGTAATTACAACAGATTTTTCTGCGTCATTTAAATGTCACATATGGACCTTCTCCCATCAAAAAAGGAAACCGGCATCTGCATACCTTTCTGTCTCAGCCACCAAAAAAGTTCCCCACCCAGCCTAGAGCAGACCACTCAGTAACTATTCAGCTGCCCTAACCAAGCTATAAAATGGGTGATGAGAAATAGATTCCACGTCTAGTCTTCTCAGTTTATAATTCTGTGATATTTAGAAGCCACAAGGACACCTAAGAAATGAACATAAGGCTCAAATAGCCTATACAGTTTATGTTTGATATATAAAAAATTGATTTTCTGAGAGCTTGGTGTTTTGGAACATGAAATACTGCATCATAATATATAACAAGGTTTTGTGTGTGTTTTTTTTTTAAATCAAACAGTATGTATACTATGGATTCGTGTTTTTACAAAACTGAGGAATGACAAACTTCCATATAAACGGGACTTCCAACCTGAATGAAGACATAGGATCGTAAGCTTCCCAAGACAGACACTGGCGCTGTGTGCCAGCTGCGCAGAAATCGCATCCTGATAGATGTTGACGGACACCCAGAATTGTTCACTGCAGCGCGTGAAGAGTGCAGGCCAGGAGAGACTTAACATGGGCGTGACAAGTTTAGGGGAAAGAAGCAGGGGAGGGCCCAGGGCTCCTGTTCCTTTAAGGCTCCCAGGTAGATTTTATGAGCCATAGTAGATCCAGAATTAACTGTAAAACGCTTAGGTGTACTTTGTACTTTGTGGCCTGAACTGCAGCTGCTCAGCAGATGGGAATTACCCACACAGTGGCATCTGCCATGAATAATGGACTTAGCAAGAAACGAGTTCCTCAATCTGATCATGCTATTGAGCTGGCCGGAA